TTCATTAAGCGTATTGATAACTAAGAGGAAGTCCTCATGAAAGCCTATTCCTTTTCTTTTTCCCTCTTGAGCAAAAAATGTTATGCCTTCAACAATGTCAAACCTGTCCCGAAATTATATTTCTGCAGGTGCAGCTGATTCCATACAATCCAGATGTTCTTGATCAGTCTATCCTATGGACCCAAAGCAAGGACTTGGGTGATGGTTTTAGAGCTGTAAGGATGGTTAACAATACCCACCTGAATGTTGATGCTTTTCATGGTGATAAGAAATCTGGTGGGGTTCATGACGGTACCACTATTGTGCTCTGGAAATGGAACAAAGGTGATAACCAACGATGGAAGATCATTCCAGCTCAGTACTGTAAGTTTCTAAACAAGCAAAACACAAGGATTTACAATTCTTATTTAAGATTTACTATCTCTTTGTTTTTCATCATGCAAACATCATATAAAAACACAAATCCAAGATGATTTCATTTGATAAAAAAGAAGTCCAAGATTAATTAAGTATATACGCCTTCATGCTTTTATTGATGTTCTTGCTGGTGATCGTTATGCAGGAAATTATGTGTGATGGCGTTGCCATTTCTGGAGGCTATGTTATATTTGTTGAACCTTGAATAAATTCTCGGGAGAATTGGTTTGTGTTCGTTTTGAGAATGTTTTGTGCTTTTTGGTATGAAAAATTTATGGCAAACACTCTTTTAGCTTTGTCTTTATGTATGATATTATTTATTATCGTTAATAATTCCATGTTGTGTAATCAATCAAAACATATATCACAGAATTTGCTCGGATAAACCTACTGTAAAAATTACCAAACAGGTTTTTTGGTGTTTTTTTGCTCTTGAAGTTTACTTCACATGTTTAACTTTCAGCTCTTCTTTAGCTCAAGGCAACATATAAAGACTGTAAGGTTCTAAAATCAAAGGTAATAAGTCTGATAGCTTATCAAACTTCATGTATTTAGATTAATGTATAATTAAATTTAAGGATGTTCAGTCTGATATATTGTCATATCAACATGTACTGAGGCACAATGCGTGCCTAAATATAAGAATCCATGTACTTGGGCTTAAAGTATACATAAACAGGATGTATATACTTTGGCTGTTCGGTTTGATATATTGCCATACAAACATGTACTGAGGCAGAATGAGCGCCTCAATATAAGGATGCATGTATTTAGGCTTAAAGTATATATAAACGCAGGAATGTTGGGTGGATATGTTGTTAGATTTAAATGTATTTGGGTTTAACGCATAGTAGAATTCATGATATTAGGTTTGGTATCTTGCTAGACTCACATGTATTTGGACTAAACGCGTAGCTGCCCTCAAGAACATTGAGTTTGACATCTCATCCGATTTATATATATTTGAGATTAGTGCATAACTGAATCTAAGGTTATGAGACTTAAAGATATTTTGTCAAGCTTATATATATTGAGTTATTGCCTTGTTTTTAAACTTTTTAAACATATTCTTTAAGCAAAAATAACATTTATAATGATCCATTACAAACATATAACTATAACATAAAAACAAAATCAATAAAAGCACTTGAACAAAAAGAAAAAAAAAGGTCATAAACCACATACTTTGTATCTAACCACTTAGTATACCTTATCAATGAGCTTCTGAGAAGAGCATGGTTTAAATTTGCCTCTAATGTAGGAAATTTTGCATACATGCACAAACTACATATAATGACATTATGCTTCCATAAATTGACAATATAAATTGTGTTTTCAAGGAAATATTTTGGGATAATTATCAATTCTCTTATAAAAAATCTTTTATAAAAATTTTTTCATAAACTTTTTTCATCCATCTGATCTTAAAACACATTAACTCATTTATTTATTTTTTCTTGAAAAATTTTATTTTGGCTTTTACACATACAAATGATTTAACAAATTTCATATAGAAAATATCTTATCCCTACAAGATTATATATCTACATCCTATATGTACAATATTTATATTATTTATATTATGTTTATCATTATATTTTATAACGTAAACTATATATAAAAGCTTGGCATTATAAATATCTTTTTTTTCTTTAAATCAATAATATTATAGAGATTGTATGTGCAAAACAAAAATAGTTCAAATAACTATCTAAATATTTGTTTCAATTAAAAAAATTATATATTATATATATAATATAATAAAAATGCAAATATATGTAAAAATTATAAATATAAATAAGTACAAGGGCTTGAGTATGAAACTTGTATAGAACTTTTTTTTTTTCAACCTAACATTATGGGACACACACCTATGATAAAAAATCAGTGTACTTTTTACTTTTTATATAATGAAAACTCTTCTTGAATTTACTCTTTTGTATCCATTAATTATTTATTTTTATACATTATCTCTAGTTAACTCAATAAATAAATAATTATTTATTTCTATACCAATATTAGTTATGCACTCAGAAGTGATATCATTAAGTACTTTTCATTTATGATATCATCTTTTATTTCCTCAAATTTTTGTAAAAAATATTATAATTAATATATTTTGTAAGACAATTATTTGGTGATATAATTATGAAAGTCATCTCTTATTAGCATGCATATTTTATGTTTAAATTAAATACTAAGTTAATTGAATAAATTCGAAGAACAAAGGTTAATAGTACAAAATTCAAGAACATAAATTCAAAGAATACACAAATTAATTAATTAAATTAAAAGTAGATAAATTAAGCCTATGGGTATATGAATAACTCCATGGAAATGAAAGTGAAAATAAAACACAACGATTAATTCCTAATAAATTAAACATTAAAAGATGAGATTGAAAAAACAATCAGATTTAATAAAAAAACCTAAGAAAAATGATCGAAGCCAGCCCATGTTAATATTCAAAATCCGTGACCCTGGTTAGAAGCTCGACTGACCTATAGAAGGAAAAACCTAAAAATAATGAAGTAAAATTCTTAATTATAAAATAATAAGGGATAAAATTGAAGGGGGGAAAAAACAATAAAGAAAGGGTAAAAAAATAGTAATAAAAAGAAAGGGAAATGAATTTGACATAAAATAAATCAAAATCAAATGTTGAGAGATAAAATTGAAAACAAAATTTAATTAGGAAAAGAATAAAAGAAAGAAAGGGATGAAATTAAGAATAAAACCCAATCAGAAAAAAGATAAAAATAATAATAATTAAAAGAATAAAGATCAAATTTGGTATAAAAATTGAATGAAAACAAATGATGATGGATGAAATTGAAGAATAAAATTGACTTACAAAAGATTAAAAAAAAATAATAAGTAACTCTCAAGAAAATAAAGACCAAATTGAATACAAAAAACAAATGAAAAGAAACTTTTGTATTTTACCAAGGAGAAGAGAGAGAAAAAAAGAAGAAAAAAAAAAGTCTATTGGAGCAACATTATTAGACCGTCATCGACACCCCCTAGCAACTGGTAAGATCTCGATACACCACTCATAACGTCATTGTAGAAGGTGATTTGTAACTGTTGAAGGTTCCACCAAGCATGCTTGAAAAGTGCAGTCTTTTCTTACTCGTTAACTCATGTATTATATACACCAACCACCTTTCTCGTTTAATATATATATTATATATGTTAAGATTCAATTGTCCCTAAATCTATTTAATAATTATAAAAAGTCATATTAAAATGACTAAAACATGCGGGGAAACATGTTTAAGAAAACAAAATTTCAAGGGTAATTAAGTAATTATATAGTGCATGAAAAGATGAAAAATAAATAAAAAAAAAGTGTTAAGAAACATATTTTCCACATTTAACTTGATAATGCCAACTAACCTTATAAAAAAAACTATTTTGCCTCTCAATTTGTGCTTCCTTGACTTATATTGTAAAGGGTAAAAATATCATTATATCGTAACAACCAACAATATATTAAATCTTAAAATATATATAGTGTTTTATCTATGAGCCTTACTTTTTTTTTACTAGAACATTGCCTTGTGGTATGTTCATGGTTAGATCAAATTTATGTTTTTAACATAAAAAGCAATATCTAGGTATTGCTAAATTTTCTTTGTATAAAGAAAAATTTAAATTATGTAGGAATTGATTTCATGTGACTCAATTACCATGACGGGTTCAAAGGCAATTTGGATGATCGATGAAAATATAGTTTAAGTGAAAATAAATATTTAAAATGAGATTTTTTTTAATAAACATTAAGATGACAACATATTGCATCGATTCAGATTAATTTAGGTCAACTTACCAATTTGCATACTAAGTGATGAAATCATGATAACCCTATAGAAAATAAATTAAAATAAATCAGAAATTCAATTTCTAATAAATCCAATATTAAAGGATGGAACTGAAAAAAATAAATTAAAAAAGATAAAAAAAATTAACCTGAGTTAATCTGTCAAACTCATAACTCGGTTCATGAGACTAAGATAACCCAATAGAAAGAAAATTGAAATAAACTATATAGTTCAATTCTCAAATAAATAAGTGTTGAAAGATGAAATTAAAAAAAATAATTAAAAAATAACACAAATAAATGACTCAAATCAACTAAGGTTAATATACAAAACTTGTAACTCGAATAACGAGATTGAGATAATCTTATAAAAAACATACCAAAAACGTGCCACAAACCTAATTTCCAATTAATTTAATATTGAAAGATGATTTAAAAAAAAAATATTTTTTAAAAAAACTCAAGTCAATTAAGTTAACTTATTAACATGTGATCATGATTATAAGTCTGAGATAATCTCATAAAAAATAAATTATAAAAATTATGAAATTCAATCTTTAATAAATCTAATATTAAAAATTAAAAATTAAAAAAATAAACAAAGAAAGTAAAGATTAAAAACACTATTATAATAAATAATTTTGAAATGGGCATTATATTTTAAACTCCTTTTTCCTTAACTTTTTAATAATTAATAATAATTTTTGAAAAGTAGTGCTCGGTGATAACCAAAAAACAATATCTTTTCAATGTTGTGCCTATGACAAGGCAAGTTTGACAAGCACTAATTGGTCCATCCTATGTGTAAGAATATCTGTAAAAATATCTGACAATGTATTAATAGTAATGTTTAATTTTTAAATTATCTTTTATTTAAAAATATATTAAAATAATATTTTTTTAATTTTTTATATTAACATCAAATTAAATTTAAAATAAAAAAATAAAATTAATTTTGAATAAGAAATTCAGATTTTTAGCAAGGCAAACAGCATCTATTAGTTTTTTTTTTAGAATTGTTTAAAAATATAGTAATAATTATTTTTTAAATTAATATCAATTTATAAAAATATTTAAAAATAAAAATAATTAAAAAAAGCTCTATTTTTTTTTTTAAATATACTTTTAAATTACAAAAACAAAGATATCGTGGTACTGCCACGCGCAAACTGGATCACCGATCATTGTTAATCAAACACAATTCTCCACATCATCCCTCCCGAACATTAATCAAGATCACCGGAAACACCCACGGAATTCCCTCCCGGCCGCCACTCTCACACTCATCACCACCGAAGAAACGATGATGAAGAAGAGAGAAGAGAGCATTACCCGCCACCAAACACCACCCCACCACCACCATCTTTCCACCAACAACCACGCCCTCCTCACACTACTATCAAGAACCTCCACAACCACCATCTTCCCACCAACCACCACCTCCCTCCTCACACTACTATCAAGAACCTCCACAACCACCATCTTCCCACCAACCACCACCTCCCTCCTCACACTACTATCAAGAACCTCCACAACCACCAAGACCATATTTTCAAGAAGCTACCTATGCACCTTCACCACCACCTCCATTTCAAGAAACTCAAGTCATTCGCACATCTCATCATTATCCACCACCACCACCACCAACACAAGTGAATCATGTTTCTCATGAAAAAACTGAAACCCATCAGTCTTTTAAGCCGCATATGCCATCTTCCATTCACCAGCAAACTCATCAATCTGGCTCTGCTTCTGGGCTTGACCTTTATAATAAACCTAGCTTCAAGGTTTACAGCAAAGCTGAACCTGATTTTCACCTCACTATTAGGGACGGAAGAGTGATTCTTGCTCGGTCAAATCCTTCCGATGATTTCCAAGCATGTAAAAATCAAAACTTTCCTTTCTCTCTCTCCATTTGTCTATAAAAATTACCTTCCTTTGCACATTTTTGCTTCTATTTCATGTAGTTTTGTTTTTAAAATTCACATTACTATAATCTGGTTTTGTCTTTTTATGTGCTTTGTTTTTTGGTTGGTTTGGTTACAATTCTCATGAGTATTTAATCTGATCATTGATTTGTAATTCAAAATTCCATAAGCATGAAAAGATCACAATTTTTTGTCCTTGTCTTTGGTTATTTGGTTAATGTTTACAATCATATGATCCTTGTGCAGACTGATCATTTTAGTTGTTTAGACCTGCTTGCCTTAGTTTTTCATTATTCCATTTCAGGGTTTTGGGGTCTTACATATTTGTAGTTGTGCTTGATTTGTGCTGGTTGTTGTTGTTGTTATAGAACTGGTTTAAAGATGAGAAGTACAGCACCAGAGTGAAGGATTCGGAAGGATGTCCTGCCTTTGCTTTGGTAAACAAGGCCACCGGTCAGGCCATAAAGCATTCCATTGGAGAGGCAAACCCTGTAAGAAATTCTCTGAGATCATGAACTTGTTGAAAGTTTGTTCTTCTATGTCTTTCATTTTCATGTCTCATGGCCTTGACCTTTAGTTGCGGAAAACATGACTTTGTAAAGCGTCATTTTTTGACAGATTTTGTTTCATTTCATTTTATATATGCATTTGTGTATTCTCGTTTTCTTCGATACTGAGTCCAAATAGCCCATACGTTTTGGAAACATAGAAGGTGCTCGTATGAGCTTGACTCAACGTTGTATAAGCAGCTTTTAAACCTGATCAAGGTAATTTGGGACTGAAATGTGAACAAGAGCTACTTTTAATGATTTAATACGTTGTCCAAAACTCTATATTCTATAGGAAACCAAGAGGTTGATGTTTTTGTTTTCCTTTGGAAGTTTGGGCATTGCTGATAAGACTGTGACTGGATATTTTACACAAGGCAACAGTTTCAGTAAATTTCAGTTGTGATCTCAGATACATTGCTTGCCACTGTTGTTCATGACCATAAATGATCCAACATTGTGTATCCTCTTTGAGGCCCAAATCGTGTTTTGGTGACATTTGGAAACATAATGTGGCGAGATTGGATTGAACAACAGAGTAGAATTTCTTCATTTATTGTCCTCAGATTATTCAAAACATGTTCAGCACATATGTTTTGGGTTTTAATGCAGCAAACCTTCAAATCTCCCTATTCATTTTATCCAAGCTACTCATCCTAGACAAGAACTGGTGTCACAAATTATGAAGTATTTAGCATTTAATTTACTTATGTTGTTTTCTTTTTATTGAGAAAGAACAAGCATGCTTCCCACATTTCACAGCTTGGAATCTATTGAGGGGAGTGTAGGTGTAAACACAGTAATGACCAGGCCACTTGCTAACTAGTGTCAATTTGATACACCAACTATCATAATTGTCTTTACCCAAATATAATTTTAAGGCTTCTAATACACAGCTCTTATTGCCTATCACTTGATTGTTCTATACCAGCTTTCAACTTGTGGGCATGCATGGAGGTGTACCATGGTACCATAGAGAAAATTGAGGTTACTACCATTAGAAACATTTTAAATTAGCTTGAACTTGATTTTCTTTCTTATACTTGACAAATAAAACTTCTCTGCTTAGAAAATCTTGTAAGGTTGTTAATGAAATAAATTATAATTTTCCTTCAAAATATTCGTTTAGGGTGCACTTGGTTTAGGATATATCATGTAGTGAAATATGTCGTGTCCTTGCTTTTGGTGGGTATAGGTGTTGCATTAAACTTAATCCAAGAAATTCGAAGACGACAATCACCACTTGTAGTCACTGCCTGCGGCTTCTCAAACCGCTAATCGCCAGCCGCCTTCACATTTAAAGTTTGATTTTTCTTACTTTCAATTTGTGTATAAATAGCCCACTAAGTTTATGTTACTGTGTGTAGAAAAGAGAAGAAAGAAACATTAGAGAGAAAGAGAGAGGGTATGTATTAAGAGTTTTTGTTTATTTTATAAGCTTTTTATTGTTGTTGAAATAAAATTGTGGGTTTTATCTTATCAGAGTATTTTAAAGCCACCACTAGTGGTTTCTCCCACCAACAATTGGTATCAGAATCTCGTTCGTCAGAAAACAAAGGCGTAGTTGGGATACATTTGACTTTTCAAAGTTGTCCAAAACGCTTTTTGATTATTCCACATGTAGGGCTCATTGATACGAACTCACTAGTATAAAAATTAGCATTAACGGAGTAGGAGGTAGCCCACACACGCCGCTTGAAAGTTTGATACTGTAACCCACGTGCATCCGACGTGCCTAGAGGAAGAAGAAGACCGAGCCATAAGCGTGTCATATTTGAGCCGCACAACGCCTCCTAAGTCGTTGCCAAGTCGAGCCGCTAGTTGAGCCAAGAGAATATTCCCTAGAATATTCGCGATTCAACCCTAGCGAATTGTCCGACGTTCAGAATCGGTTTCCTGACCGGTTCAGCCTATTTTTGACCCATTTGCAACTAAGTCAGACCGGTTCTCTATTGTTTTGAGCATTTTAGATCCATCAACAGTGTTAATTTGCTCGGATAAACCTACTGTAAAAATTACCAAACAGGTTTTTTGGTGTTTTTTTGCTCTTGAAGTTTACTTCACATGTTTAACTTTCAGCTCTTCTTTAGCTCAAGGCAACATATAAAGACTGTAAGGCAAAATTTCATGTATTTAATATATAGCTGAACCTAAAAATATTTGATTTGATATATTACCATACCAGCATGTACTTTGTACATGCCTGAATACAAGGATGCATGTATTTGGACTTAAAGCATACATAAACACAAGAATGTTGGGTAGATATGTTAGTTTTACATGTACTTGGGTTTAATGCATGATAGAATTTATGATGTTAGATTTTGTTTTTTGCTAGATTTACATATATTTGAACTAAATACATAACTGTGTACTTGGGTTTAATGCATGATAGAATTTATGATGTTAGATTTTGTTTTTTGCTAGATTTACATATATTTGAACTAAATACATAACTGTTTTTAAGAACATTGAGTTTAACATCTCACCTGATTTATGTATATTCAAGTTTAATACATTTAAGCTTCGTGCATAACTTTTAAGAACATTGAGTTTAACATCTCACCTGATTTATGTATTTATGTATATTCGAGTTTAATACATTTAAGCTTCGTGCATAACTGAATGGATGTTAGACTTAAAGATAAGGTTAAATCTATATTATCTCATATTATTTGGGTTTTGATATTTTGTTAAGCTTAGGTATAATAAGTTATTGCCTTGTTTTTAAACCTTTTAAACATATTTTTTAAGCAAAAATAACAAATATATAATTATAACATAAAAACAAAATCAATAAGAGCACTTGAACAGAGAAAAAAAGAAGAAGTTATAAACCACATATTTGTATCTAACCACTTAGTGCAACATATCAAATGGGCTTATAGAAAGAGTCTAGCGTACATGAAAAAACTGCAATGATATTAGGCTTTCATAAGTTAACAATACAAATGGTGTTTTTAAGGAAATATTTTGATAATTACCAAAATTCTCTTGTAAAAATTCTTTTATAAAAATATTTTTATAAAACTTTTTGCATCTATCTGACCTTAAAACCCGTTAACTCATCTGGTTTTTTTATTTTTGAAAAAATTGATTTTGAATTTTACACATACAAATTATTTAACAGATTTCATATAGAAAATATCTTACCCCTATAAGATTATATATATGCATATTATATGTATAATATTTAATATGTATAATATTTGTATCATGTTTATGATTATATATCATAACGTACACTATATATAAAAGCTTGGCATTATAAATATCTTTCTTCTTTAAGTCAATAATATTATAGAGATTGTATGTGCAAAAAAAAAAAGTTTAAATAACTATCTAAACATTCGTTTCAATTAAAAAAAAAAATGATACATTATATATGTAATATATAAAAATGTAAATATAATGTAAAAATTATAAATATAAATAAGTACAAGGGCTTGAGTATAAAACCTTGTATAAATCCTTTATTTCTTTTTCCTCTTAATAGAATGTGATTCTGTGTTTTTTTATTTCTCCTAAAGGTACAGTTAAATGCTACCTGCATTTTTAGCCTAACATTACCAGATACATACATGTGTACAAGAAATTAGTGTACTTTTTACTGTTTATACAGTGAAAACTCTTGAATGTTAATTATTTATTTCTATACATCCTCTCTAATTAACTCAATAAATAAATAATTATTTATTTTTATATTAATATTAATTATGCACTCAGAAATGATATCATTAAGTACTTTTCATTTTTGATATCACCTTTCATTTCCTCGGATTTTTGTAAGAAATATTACCTTTAATATATTTTGTAAGACAATTATTTGGTGATATAAATCTTATATAAATATGAAAGTCATCTCTTATTAGCATAGATTATCTTATTAGCATAGATTAGCATGCATATTTTATGTTGAAATTAACTATTGAGTTAATTGGATAAATTAACTATTTTATAAAACTTTTTGCATCTATCTGACCTTAAAACCCGTTAACTCATCTGGTTTTTTTATTTTTGAAAAAATTGATTTTGAATTTTACACATACAAATTATTTAACAGATTTCATATAGAAAATATCTTACCCCTATAAGATTATATATATGCATATTATATGTATAATATTTAATATGTATAATATTTGTATCATGTTTATGATTATATATCATAACGTACACTATATATAAAAGCTTGGCATTATAAATATCTTTCTTCTTTAAGTCAATAATATTATAGAGATTGTATGTGCAAAAAAAAAAAGTTTAAATAACTATCTAAACATTCGTTTCAATTAAAAAAAAAAATGATACATTATATATGTAATATATAAAAATGTAAATATAATGTAAAAATTATAAATATAAATAAGTACAAGGGCTTGAGTATAAAACCTTGTATAAATCCTTTATTTCTTTTTCCTCTTAATAGAATGTGATTCTGTGTTTTTTTATTTCTCCTAAAGGTACAGTTAAATGCTACCTGCATTTTTAGCCTAACATTACCAGATACATACATGTGTACAAGAAATTAGTGTACTTTTTACTGTTTATACAGTGAAAACTCTTGAATGTTAATTATTTATTTCTATACATCCTCTCTAATTAACTCAATAAATAAATAATTATTTATTTTTATATTAATATTAATTATGCACTCAGAAATGATATCATTAAGTACTTTTCATTTTTGATATCACCTTTCATTTCCTCGGATTTTTGTAAGAAATATTACCTTTAATATATTTTGTAAGACAATTATTTGGTGATATAAATCTTATATAAATATGAAAGTCATCTCTTATTAGCATAGATTATCTTATTAGCATAGATTAGCATGCATATTTTATGTTGAAATTAACTATTGAGTTAATTGGATAAATTAACTATTTTATAAAACTTTTTGCATCTATCTGACCTTAAAACCCGTTAACTCATCTGGTTTTTTTATTTTTGAAAAAATTGATTTTGAATTTTACACATACAAATTATTTAACAGATTTCATATAGAAAATATCTTAAAAAAAAATTATTTTTTTTTTAATTTAATCCTTCAACATTAAGCTAATTGGAAATTAAATTTTAAAATTTATTATTTTGTTTTCTATGAGGTTATCGTGATCTCAAAAAAAAATCTCAGTATTGGATTCGTGCTTAATTTTGTGCTTTTTATAAAATATTTTTTAAAAATATTTTTCAAATTTCTTTGAAAAGGGCCAAACCCGATCCAAAAAGAAACTGGAACGAAATTAGCCCAAAAAAATACAAACTATCTTATATTAGGTTGAACTCAGCCTAGCCA